TGCCGGTGTGAGTCGCGTGGACCACCAGTGTGCTTACGCCCCGCGAGCCGCGACCCGCCACCGCGACCCGCGAGGCCGGAGTACGACCCGTGTGCGTGCGTGTGTGTGTGCGTGTGACAGTGCGTTCGAGTGTGCCACTGTGCCAGTGGCGGGTTGGGCTGACCGCTCGCGATTGTTTCGGCGGTGCCGTTGACGCGTCTGCGATGACAGCGCTTGCAGAGCTGCCCCTCCCCGGGTCCTCCCTGTGACGGCGATCCGCAGCGCGCCCCGCAGTAACCGCCAGCAGCCAAGCAGCACCGCGAAGCAGGCGAAGCACCGCGACAACAAGGATCTCTGCTCGGCCAAACGACCAGGTAAGCACGCTGAGTCAACAAGGACTGTACACAGTGCGCGCCATTGCCATTCGCAGCCATTCCAGCGAAATGATGATGACTGTGTCAAGCCCGGCCCGTCCGGCGTTTGCCCCGCCTGTTAATAGGTTTCGATCGGAGCCTAAATAACGACCGTTAGCGGCCCGCGGCCCGAAACGCGCCGGGACTGTACACGGACCGGCAGGGACCAGGGTCTGGTTTGGCGCGCGAGAGTGAACCCTCCGCACCGCGCCGCGCCGCGCGGAGTGAAGTGAACGCACCCAAGGTGACCGGGATTTTGGGCGGCGCGCCATCGTCGGCCGGCCAGTTGAAGCGGCCGGGACTTTGCTCTGACCACGTCCGACCCGACCCGACCGGTGTGTCTGACCGGTGTCTGCCTGACGCGGGCGCATTCTCTGGTTCTCACGGCCTGTCTGCCTGCTGCCTGCCTGCCCGGGCTGCCGGCCGAGTTCGCGCGCGCACAGCGTAATATGCGCGCGAATAACACTCACACACACACACACACGCACACGCACACACACGCACACACACGCACCGGCAGGGCAGTGACCGACCACGATTGACCGGGCGGGCTGGAACGGAACGCACCCACCCACCCACCCACCAGCAGCGACTGCGTGGACTGCGTCGCCGAGTGGCTGGCAGTGGCTGGCAGTGGCTGGCCGGCCACCGACGTCAAAAGCGCGGCGTGTGCGATAGCCTCGCAGCCTTCTGCCCCTACTTTCCGCGGAGCCTCCTCCTCACCTCCGCCTCACCTTCGCGCCGAGTTATCGCGCCGTTCGGCCGTTCGGCGCCGGCCGTGCTTCGCTGCTTCGCCCGCTTCGCCGTGCTTGTGGCGTGGCGGCCTGGGGACTCATTCGGAAGAGTCGCGCTGCCGTCTCTGCCGCACGCGTGGGGGGCGTCGCGAAAGGGCCAGAGAGAGACAGCGACGATGCTTCCGGAGCGGAGTGCTTGCCTGTGGGTTGCCTGTGGCTGGCCCCGTGGGCTGGCCTGTGGCGGGAACGTCGCGGAGACAAAGGCAACGCTGTCTTGTCAGCCGCTGCACCTGAGGGCTCCGAGCGGCGGCCGGACGGACACGACGGACACCTAGCAGACTGATTCCGAGAGTCGTTTTCGTTCGCGCCGTCTCGCTCGCACTCAGGCGGCGTCCCGTGGGGGCGCGAGAGAGACCGGGCGGCGGGAACGACTCTCAGTCTGCTCGGTCGACAGCGCGTGGAAAGCACGGCCTGCTCACACTGTGCAGCACTTTGCTCAAAGCCCCCGGAAGTGCCGGGCTGGGCGTCGTCCTGGACAGGCATCGCGGCGGGCAGGACGCCGCAGGCCCCAGCTGTTCGGGACGCACTGCTGGCCGGGCCGGCGGAGTCCGGCGTTGGCCGCCACCTGTGGCTGCTCGCCCAGCTCGCCCAGCGCGGCCGAGACGCTCACGGCTTTTCTTTCCTTTTCCTTTCTTTCCTCCCCTTATCTTTCCTCTCCTCTTCGTTCTCGGTCCACCACACATCTGCTTTCCTCGCTGCTCCTCGATCTGGGCGAGGCAAGGCCACGGTTTGACGCCCTTACTAAATGCGCGGCGCGCGGCCTGGCTGAGGCCTGGGCCGTGTACACTGTACACGCGTGTGTCGCCGAGGGGGGCCGTCCGCGAGGCACTGGCAGGGACCGCCACCAAACGGCCTGCAGTTGGGGTCGCCTCGTCCTGGCTTCGTTTCGTTTATTGGGGCACGAGTGCAGGGCGTGCAGGGCGTGCAGGGCGCCACCCCGTTCGCACCTCGGCGCTAACCGCCACTCGCTCTCGCTCTGTCCGCGGGCCGGGCCTGGCCGGGCCGAGGCGCGGTGAGGCGCGGCGGGTCGGCGCGAGGCTACTCACGGCCATGCATCGACCGCTTGTTTCCCGCAGTGTACACACACACTCACACACTGTTTGCGTTTTCAATTTGCTGGCCGCGCCGCGCCTCCCGGAGCGTCTTCATCGCACCCTGTTGCGGGTACACTGGCGCAAAAGAACGCGGACGGGGGGTCGGCGGTGCCAAGTCGCCTTGCAAAGTTATAAAGTTACAATCTAAGGGACGCCGCCCGCGTGCGCTTAATTTTTTTTACAGCCGGCTTCGGTGCGCCAGCGCCTCTCCGAGTTGTCGATGGATGAGAAGAAAAGTACAGTCGTCGGGGAGTTGAACCCGAGCCAGATACAGCTCGCGCGGCGTCGTAACCAACTGAGCTACGGAGAGAGCTCGTCGGACGAGTGTCATACCGGCCGTAATGCCCATGATAATGCCCTGTGTTAACACAACCCACGACAAACTGCCAGCTACCATTGGCTTGCGGCAGGCCCTCCCCATGGAACTGCTCTATCACTGCACACACCGGTTTCTCATAACGTCGAACAACGCACGGAAAAAAATCCGTGGTCGTGGCGACCGAATCTCGATCGCCACGACCATCTTCTTCGATAGCTTGGGGGACTACCGGATTTCTGATCGTGAGAACCATGTCACCGAGCTGAAACAAGCTGGCCATCAGAACGACTGTGTTGATTGTGACAACCAAGAATAAGGTATCCTAGAACCGTCGTCCATCAGTTGCAGGGAAGGTATGATTTTAGGGCCTCTTCGAGACGACTAGAAAGTTGGTTGAGAGAACCAACTCATCTGACACTTAAGCCGATATCTCGTTCGTGGGGAATTTCTATGCAACGCTCAGCAGACTCGGTTTCAACTTGGTCTGTGGTCCTCGCAAATGTAGTGTTTCTTACACTGTGATCCGAAACTGGCATCACAATCAAAAATGAATGAGACGGCACAGCGAAGACGCCGCACCGTCGTCCTCTGCCCGAGTGAGCAGAAGACAAGTGATTGGGGATCATGCCTGAACCTAACCTAATGACCGAACGTAGACGCCAGCGAGAGGCAACATGAAAATGCGTTCTTCTCGACTTCAGTGTAATATTTTGTTCAGAACTTTCAGCTGACGGCTAGAGAACATATTTACCGAGGCAACAGACAACATTATTTGCGAAAATTATTTACTTGAGTAACATAAATCGGAAATACTAATAGGCGAACGGGCACGCCGTCACCAAGCGGCAGGTCCGTGAAACCTCGACTCTCAGAACCGAAGTTCCTTGAGCAGAGCGGTCGGTAGTGACGATTGGCTCGGGCCGACCAAGTGGGTTGTAAGAGGATAAATACGCTGGTTGGTTGTCAGAATCAAGCCGTTCGATGCCCACAATCACTGTAACGACAACTGAGTACATCCGATCGTGACGACCAACGGCTTTTTTTCCGTGCGCGACACAGTACAGTCTACCCGAGTCATCGCGCGTTGTCGTCGACAATCTTGCAGAGGACTGTACTGTATGGCACTATGCACGCGGAGAAACGGCCCGACTCGTCGCCTTGGCAAATCATGAGCCACTTTAATTTACGATCAATTTCGGAGCGCGCGGGCAGCGCGGCGGTCGTGCGCTCTTTTTGCCGAGCGCGGCGTATTTTAATACCGTTTTGAGCCGAGGCAGTATACTCGTTAGTGGACCGCGGCCGGGGAAAGTGCTGCCAACGTCGCGCGCTCAAATTGTTTTGCATCTGTTTTACCGACAGCTTTGTCTCGAGGTGAGTTAGTGCTGCCAACGTCGCGCGCTCAAATTGTTTTGCATCTGTTTTACCGACAGCTTTGTCTCGAGGCGAGTTAGTGCTGCCAACGTCGCGCGCTCAAATTGTTTCGCATCTGTTTTTACCGACAGTTTTGTCTGAAAGTGAAGTAGTGCTGCCAACGTGGCGCGGTGAAATGGTTTTTTGCTTGGACGGCTTTCCGCCAAGTCCCCCTCCCCGCGGCGTTTCACGGCCACCCTGCGTCACCAGACAATTTCCCTTACGCCCCCCGAGTTGGCAGCAGGGCACCCCTCGCTTCAGTCACGGTTTTGTCTAAATTTATTCTCGGCCCATTATTTTTTTTTTTTTCAAGTTCAGCTTTCTGTTGGAAATAAAACATTTGCCGCATCAGCTGACGTCGCCCCGGGCGTGGCGGCCGGCCAGGCAACCCCTCCCCCGTTTACTCTCGTCGCAGTCGGAAGAGACTTTCAGCGACGCGACCAAAGAGAAGCATCCGTCTTCCGAGGAATTCGGTTTACTTTGTGTGCAGCAGGGAGACTCGTCGTCATTTTCCCCGGCAGCTCTCTGGCTTTGCCCGCGAGAACTCCAGGCGGGGAGCGCGCAAATTTTCCCCGGCGGTAAATCTGTGAGGGGAAAATCGATTCGAAATTTCATCATCGTGGCTTTGTCCGGTCAATGATTTGCGCACTTTTCCCGACGTCGGACTGCGAAGTCATTGCGAAGTCGCTGCTGGACGGGCAGTGCTGTGGTTCCCTCGCCACGCTTCGGGTGCTTCGGGTGCTTCGGGTGCTTCGGGTGCTTCGGGTGCTTCGGGTGCTTCGGGTGCTTCGGGTGCTTCGGGTGCTTCGGGTGCTTCGGGTGCTTCGGGTGCTTCGGATGCTTCGGGTGCTTCGGGTGCTTCGGGTGCTTCGGGTGCTTCGGGTGCTTCGGGTGCTTCGGGTGCTTCGGGTGCTTCGGGTGCTTCGGGTGCTTCGGGTGCTTCGGGTGCTTCGGATGCTTCGGGTGCTTCGGGTGCTTCGGGTGCTTCGGGTGCTTAGGACAGCCGTCCGAAGGCGTCGCGGTCTATCGCTGGCCGACAGACCGATTCCGAGGGTCGTTTTCGTCGCTCTGTCTCTCTCTCGCCTATGCGGGACGCCACATGAGTGCGAGAGAGACAGTGACGAAAACGCCTCTCAGTCTGCAGGCGGACTGCCGATAGCGCGTCGCCAGATAACCGCAGTGCAGCGGCTTTCCGCCACGTGGGTCGGCCCAGCCTCGCCTGGCCCAGCCTCGCCTGGCCAAGCCCAGCCCTTCCGCCCGGTGTCAATCTCGACCGGACGCGCCGAGGGGTTCTGGCTCGCGATTTCCGGGTTTGGCGCTTTCGGGGTTCTGGCTCGCGATTTC